TTCCGGATCTTCAAGAGGGGGAACTAGAGGCGTAGCAGATCCTCGGGTCATGAACCAACTGCAAACAAAAACAAAACAAAACGCGTAAAAAAGAACAAAAAATTAAATCTGATTCAGCATCGCACTCGCCGAGTCGGGGCGAATGCACTCGGCGAGTTCAACTTAAAATCAGCGATTAATTTTTTTTTTTTTTTTTTTTTAAACTAAAACTTAAACAAAAATGAACAGAAATTAACTTTGTGTAAGATGAATCTTACACAAAGGATCGATTGAATTAGAATTTTAATGCTAATTTTAGAACCGTTCCCCGGCAACGGCGCCAAAAACTTGATGTGTGTAAAACTCACTTAGTTTTAATCCTACTTTAATTATCAAATAACACACAAAAGGCAGTGAACCTATCAATTGTGGTATAGCTAAATAAGCAGGGTATCGAACACAGGGAACGGCAAATTAAATTAAAAACTAATTCTATCTAAGTTGATTAGCAAATAAGGGTTTTTCTCTAGTTTTACAAGACTAGAAACTTACTAACTAAAACTAATAAGACTAGAAAAGAACAAATTAACTAGATTCAATAATGGGAAAGAAACTTCTGTTTAGTTCAACTCGGTTAACTTTATGGTTGATTTTAAGGTAATAGTGCAATGGATTAATTCTTTCGTTGGTTACCGATTCAAGTGATTAAGTTTGTGTTCACTACCCTAATCCTTAGCAAATAAACTAATTCAAACAGTGGCCAATTGCTTAATTTAATTATATTTACTAGATTAATTATTCGGGTTAAGTTAGACTTGCAATAGCTAATTAATTCGTTATTCTTAATTAACCTCTTGTTCGATGGTCATCTTACAAGCTTGCACATGAATTTACTCAATTTCCTTATTAATCCTAGTTTCATATTCATTAATCCTAGACATATGTATATAGTGGTCACATATCATATGAGGTTGATAATCAATAGATGTTCATGCTAATCAATTATCTTCCTATTAACAGAAAATTAATTATCATTCATACACAAGGTTCTTTAGCAGCTAAAATAACAATTAATCACCAACTTGGAATTAATCCTACCAATCAATCAAACCATATTGTCAACTTTGTATCCCCAAACAGAAGTCTAAAGAAATTAGTTCATAACTAAGGTAAATAACAGCAAACAAATAAGTTCAAGTTGCTTAATCATGTTGACAAAACAAAAGAATTAAGTAGAATGGTGAAATTACGCCTTAATTACTCCCGAGATTGGATTCTAGCTTCTTTGGTCGACTTCTAGGGTTCTTCTGGCTTCTTATTCGCAGCTAAGCACTTCTGAAACTTCCCAGAATTCTCCCTTTCTCGCATTGTAGAGTTATCTTTATATATGCGTTCCCGACTCGTCGATTCATATGGTGACTCGTCGAGTCCCTCTCACATAGTCGTAATCCGATAACTATCTTGACTTCCGAATGCTTATCTTTCTGAATCCGCGACCGGACTCGTCGAGTAGGGCAACTCGACGAGTAGAAGCCTTTTATGGGTGTTTTCTTTCTTCTTTCCACTCTTGAGCTCCTAACCGCTTCTCTTGCTTCCTTTCGCTTCCGAGCTTCATCTTTGGACTGAAAAACATAATTTAACACTTTTAAGTACCTTTTGTCCATAATATGCAACAATTTAGCTAATATATGAATAAATAAACTACACTTAATTCACACTAAATACTAGGGGCAACTCGACGAGTAGAAGCCTTTTATGGGTGTTTTCTTTCTTCTTTCCACTCTTGAGCTCCTAACCGCTTCTCTTGCTTCCTTTCGCTTCCGAGCTTCATCTTTGGACTGAAAAACATAATTTAACACTTTTAAGTACCTTTTGTCCATAATATGCAACAATTTAGCTAATATATGAATAAATAAACTACACTTAATTCACACTAAATATGCATATATCAATCAATGACACAAGACTCTTCATTTTGTAACCATTACCAACTTTTATGAGTTTTATGAGTCTTTAATGTGACTCTTCATGTAACTTGAGGACAAGTTACACAAACACATTTTATACTCAACTCTTAGATTAAAATGGATTGAAAGCAACTATTTCAATTAACTTTTCTATTAATCTAAGCAACTCATAAGAACAAGATAATTCATATCAAACTTCTTCATGTAATTAGTCTAAACCTTAAACTAATACAAAACATGAATCTATTGACAATTATCTTTGAAAATGGATTAGCATGAACATTACCACATTAAAAAACAAGTTTATAAGTTCAAAAACAACTTAGGGTAATGTTCCTAGTCCATTTCTAGCCAAAAACCTCGAAAATGTGTTGTCGGGGGTCCAACTCGTCGAGTGCATGAACCAACTCGGCGAGTTGGATCGTTTTGATCAATTTTTAGGCATGGACTCGCCGAGTCCCTTGATGGACTCGCCGAGTCTGATGATCAAACCGCAACACTTTCGATTTTTTAAGCAGTTTTGCAGGTATAACAAGAAAACAAGCCTAGGCTTTTGATACCACTGTTGGGTTTTGAGCATTCTAACACTCCTAAGTGTACATGCAACCCTAAATACCTTGGATCTATGTTTTCTCTATTATACATGCAAATAAGAACATCCAAGGTATTATCCTAATCTAGCATACAAAACAATAAGTGTAACAAGATAGAATACATACCTCTTTGATGTAGAAAGTCTTCATGAAGCTTAAGTGCCTAGCCCCAATAGTGTGGAAGCCTCAAATGGAATCACAATCATCAAAACACTTAGAATAACTTGAGAGAGTTCTACACTTCATGAAATCGGCTAGCCCTCTTCTTCACTTTCTAATGTGATTCTAGTGGCTGATTTTTGTCAAGAATAAGATCTTTATATAGTGTTACAATTAGGGTAAATCCTTAATTGTCATGGCTTTCCATTTCCTTGGATCCATGGGTTCATATACACCATGGAGCATCCATGGACCATCCTATGGGTTTTAGCCCAACTTGATTATCCATGGAGCATTAGCCCACTATATAAGTATGGATGATTTACACAATCAACCCATATATTTAATTAGTCTTCTATTGATCACTTAATTAATCCTAGATTAATTCTTGATCAATACTAATTAAATAATCTTATTATTCTTATTATTAATATACTAGAACTTATAATATATTAATAACCATAAGTGTCTTATTTCTCTCATTATAGTCTATCCAAGTGCATGATGGTATGCAACCCAAATGGACCATGCCAGGTCGGGTCAAGTCTTACCAATTATAGTTATGGACTTAGACATTAATCCAACAGATTGTTGAAGAATGGAAGTGTTTAACTCAAGAACACTTGGAGATGCCTTGAAGATTTTCGAGAATCTAACATCATAGTTATGGAGTTTGTGTAAGCAATCAATGATTTGAGTATAATGAAGTGAAATAATCATAAGGAGGATGAATTATACTTACTAAGAGTGGAAGAACACTTGAAAATCAGCCTTGAATCTCGAATTTGGTGGAGAAAAAGTTTGAGAGAAAAGTGGTGTTTGATACTTAGTGAAAGGAGAGCAAATGAGAGAAATGAGGAGAGAGGATGTTTGTTCCAGCTCTAAAAACGTGGGAATAAGTGGAAATTGAGTGTAAGGGACATTGAAGTGACCTAGGTAAGGTGGGGAGGTGTGGCTGGTCATAGAGTGGGTGTGGGGTGGTTGCTTGTGACATAAGTTAAGGCAAGGTCAACACTCCACCTTAAATAAATCCCCCATTAGATCTTTATTATTTAGATAATGATTTTCATCAAAAATATGTTTAAATTATGAATATTTAGGGTTTATTATGTTAAAATATAATTTCTGGAGAAAATCTCGCTTTAAAATCACGAAAAACGGGCTTAAAATGTTAAAAATATCAAAAAGGGGCTAAAAGTGACAAAATTCCGAAATCTGGCCGAGTTTCGGTCTTCTGATGCTGAAACCGAGAGGAGAGAGGGCAGAAACCGAGAGGGGAAAAGAAACCAAGAGAAGAGAAGAGAGGGAGCAGAGACCGAGAGGTGGGAGACGAGAGAACAGAGACCGAGAGGAGGGAAGAGAGAACAGAGACCGAGAGGAGGGAAGAGAGAACAGAGAGGCGCGAAGAGACAGAGAGGAGAGAAGGAGACAGAGAGGCGGGAGGAGACCGAGAGGCGACAGAGACAGAGAGGGGCGAGGAGACAGAGACCGAGACTCGGTCTCGCTACAGGGATTCGGTTCTCCGGGTTTGGCCAACAGAGACTCGGTCCGGTCCTGGTATTTTCGGTCCTAGGTCTTGGCCTTAAGGAGCTTGGGCTCCTTGAGAAGGGTTTCGGTTCCTAAGGTCCATTTTTCTCGTTTTTACCCCGTTTTAAGCCGTTTTTGACCTGGTTAAGGGTCGGAATGACCTGAATGATTCTAAAAAGTTACGGGAACTTTTAAGAGAGATTTGGGAGAGATTTATCATACTTGGAGAGATTTGGGAGAGATTTGACATTCTTGGAGAGATTTCTCATACAAAGAGATATTTAAGAGAGGTTTCACATACTTGGAGAGATTTGACATTCTTGGAGAGATTTCTCATACAGAGAGATGTTTGAGAGAGATTTGGGAGAGATTTCACATACTTGGAGAGATTTGGGAGAGATTTAACATAGAGAGAGATAGAGTGAAAACGATTGAGAGAGGTTTCATGTGTGACAATTGTGAGTGTTTGGCTCCGCAATGCAAGGTTCTTGAGCCCCGTTAAGTCATGATTAAGGATCCTACACACTCCCGATGAGTATGCAACATGGTTTTATCAGTTTAGTTCATTGATTAGCACTAAGGCTCAGGAAATTTTAACACAAGACTTTTCCCAAGTGATGTTTTCCCATTAATATAGCAAGGTTTAATCTAGTTGACCGGTTTGACTTGATGACTTGACTTGACTCTAGGTTGACGATTGTCACACTGAGCCTTCTGTGCCTCGGTTAGGGCTGCTAGTGCCCGTGCTGTCGGCTCGTCAAAACCGTCTTCGATCATGTTGAAGAGACCCTTCGCTCGTAATAGGTTCTCCATTAACTCACTCCAATGATCATAGTGCGCGCCATCAAATTGGGGAATCTTGGCGGAGAATTTTTCCTCACCCATCGTTCGTGTTTGCTCACACCTTACTGTCACTCGTGTTTGCTCACACCTTACTATCACTCGTGTTTACTCTCGTCGCTCAATAAACCTAGCTCTGATACCACTTTATTGAGTAAACAAGAGAACAATTTTAAGCCCTCCAAAATTTTGTGGTATTATTGAGAACTTAAAGGCATTAAATAGCCGGTACATCAAAGCAAAAACAAACAATAATCCTAAAATGTTTGATGACTTATTCAGGGCTAAAAACTAGGAAGACTAAGTTTATTAAAAAATAAGTAACTAAAGACCCGAACAACTAAAAACCTCTTCAGTCACTAGATGAAAATCCTTATCTTTTTATTGTTTTTGTTTCTTTAACAGATCAAGTCAACTTAGACGCCTTGAAATTGTATGTTGCTATCATGGAAGCTGGAGGTGGAATGAAGCTTTGAAGAAATTTTCATTCTTGGAGGAACTTAATATCTACAGACAAAAAATTCCAAAAGAAGCTATTGAAACTGTTGGGCTTTGTTTCCCTATGTTAAGAACACTGAGAGTGAATCAAGAAGCGTGTAGGTTTTGGCCTTGGGATAGTGTTGAAAAGTCTTACACGATACGTAATGAGACAACCATAGCTATTGGAGAAAACTTACCTGAGTTAAGGCACCTTGAACTTATTGAAAACTACATGTCGAATATTGGGTTGCAAGTCATTTTGGATGGTTGTTGTCATCTTGAATTTCTTGACTTGCGTCAGTGCTGGTATTTTTATATTATTAATTACCTGTTAGCAAGGAATTGTCTTAAATTAATAACAGTGTAAGTGTTGCATTAGAAGGTACTAACTGCGTTGATGTATTTTTTGAAGGTGTGGCTGTTGCGACCAAGAAATTGTCTTTCGTCTTTAATTAATAGTGGTGAATCATTTCCGTTCTATGCTGAAACTAGAGTATAGTTTAAAGATGTTATGTTGATTTCTGGAATTGTTATCTTTAATGGTGTTTCTAGTTGTTATCTTGCATTATGTTTCAAAATTCCATATTTTTCTTTGACTGGGAGTTTTTATGCATGGGACAAATAAAATAACATTCATCTTTGAAGGAATGGAATCATTAAAATCATTAACTGACGATGACAAAATACCCATCTACACAAAATACATATGTTTACAATTTGTTAAAACAATTATCCGGTTAAAACTTATATTTTACATTGTGGCAAATAGATACTAAGAAAAAAAAAACTATAATTATCAAATTAACATAAACAAATTAAACATCAATGCTTTTAAAATAATATCATAATAACCGAACCCAAGTATCTATTTTCAAATTTCTCAAACGGAACCCAATATCCAAACTGATGGATTTGGATTTTGGATTTCCAATTACTACCAGTTTGGTTTTGTTTTATACCATGAAATCTTTCTCAGACAAACTTAATCCTTGAGAACTCATTATATAGATGTTAAGATGGGTTGATCTTTGATCTTATATACATTGCCTAAGGATTAGGGATGAGAATTTGGTCCGAAAATCCGAACTGAACTGAATTAGACCTGACTAAGCAATTTGATTCAAGTTTTGGGGAATAAGCAATTTGATCCAAGTTTTGGGTATCTATATTATGCTTATTCAGTACACGGGTTATTCGGTCAAGGTTATCCAAATAAAAGCTTATTCGGTTCTAAATATTCGAACCAAATAAGCATTTCTCGTCCCCCTTCTTTGATTGATAGAAACCGAAATCATGATCCACACGTCTATCCTTGTCGTTCACAACAGGAAAAAAACATGCGCTTGTTCTCGTCGTTTCAAAATCAACTAATCTTTTCAAATATTTCCAAAGTCGAATTCACTTCTGTCGATTATTCCTCTTGTTTTAGACTTTCAATAATCGATTTTCCTATTGTCTCTAATGATTCACGAATTCTTACGTTGTCTAGTAATGGAAAATTTGGCTCCAACTCAATAAACCCAAGTAAGAAATTAATTCTCATCATGTTAATATACTATGTAAATGCTATTATTTCAATGTGTTATTTTGTAATGTTAGTCTTTGAATGTTTTATGTCGATGTATAAAAGTATATTGTTATTCTATTATTCGGGTTATAGAATACTAATACGATTTATTCGGTTCTTTTCGATTATATTAAGTCCTTAATCATCTCGTACATATTATTCGGGTAATAACCGAACCGAAAAGATTAATACTCAAACTGAACGCGTATTGGTTAATCGGTCCGGCTTTCGGTTCATGCAATTACCCTTATTCGATTTTCGGGTTATTGTCGGTTCGGTCCGGTTCCGGTTTTCGGTTCATGATGTGGGATGAAATAGTCGCTCTCAAATAAAAAATCAAGATCCAACGACTACCAGTTCTACCAAATTGTTATTTTAGAATAATTTTGTACTGATTTATATAAAATATGTATTTATAAAAATATATTATTTTTAAAAGTTCAATACAATCGGTTTGGTTTTTGACTGTTTTATTTTTTCCAAAAACCGAATCCAAACAGAAATTTTTGGTTTGTAAAAAACTCAAACCCAAATTATATTCCTTAAATGTGAAGTTCCACTCTATTGCAATGAGAAAAACAAATGATTTGAACAAAAACAAATCGCCCACCGTGGGGCTCGAACCCACGACCACAAGGTTAAGAGCCTTGCGCTCTACCAACTGAGCTAGACGGGCTGATGTTTTTCTTCTTGTAATATTGCTACTTCACTAGACGAATTTGATCAGCTCGTTGGGTTTTGGGGTTGAAGCAGAAATCTTCTTTTGGTATGTTTCAATTTGGTGGCGTCGCATCGGAGCCGGAGGGAGATATGGAACTATGGGGATGGAGATGGACGATGTTCCTTGAATTATCGGTCATCGTTGCCTTCGTTATTGGAGTAGGGTTAATTCTAGCAATTGTTGTTGAAACCTTCAAAAGACGATTCAACCATGCGTATGTTCTTCTGTAACCCTAACTTTACCATGATATTCAAGTATGTTATGTGTCTATAGCCTTCTGATGTTTAATTTTCTTACTACAGTCATCTCGAAGCTCACCCGATCTTTGAAGATCCAAATTCTCTCAAACCGGTACCTTCCATCTTTCATCTTGTATCATCATCTTATCTCCTATCATTATACGCACACTCTGCATCTTCTCAGAAATTAAATGTCGTAATACAGCTTATCCACTTGATATTGTTGCGAAGAGTTCAATTAACAATTCACCATAGTATGTGATTTTCAGAAATAGGTAGTGTGGACTAACACTGTTACGACCATTTGTTGCAGGTTCGATGCCCTTATATCAACGATCCTGCAGAAAAGTATATTTCGTTAATCATTCCTGCCTTTAATGAAGAACATAGATTACCAGCAGCTCTTGATGAGACTATGAAGTGAGTAAATTCAGATCAATTTTGACATTTGTAGCATGATTCTTCATCTATGATTACACGTATAACCATTGAGATCATAGCTGATAGTAAAATACATACATTGCAATCTAGCTAAGTGGTTGTGACTTGTGAATATGGAACTGATTATAGTCTTGCATCTTTCATGTGTAGTTATCTTCAGCAACGTTCAAGAAAGGATCAGTCATTTTCATATGAGGTATTTTCTAACTCTTCTGGTGATTAACTTACACATTCAATAAAGTTCTCAACTTCCATTGATCATTTTATGCAAATTTCACTCTGAACTGAAGTCAGCATTTGGTATTTTGAATTGAATGGATATCTTGAACAGGTAATAGTTGTTGATGATGGAAGTAAAGATGGAACAAAGAAAGTGGCATTTGATTTTGTGAGGAAATATAAAGTAGACAATGTAAGAGTTATTCTCCAAAGAAAGAATCAAGGCAAAGGAGAAGCTATAAGAAAAGTGAGTCAGATTTCTCATCACATTAAAGACCTCTTTATCCATCATGGCTCATTAGTCATATCCTTATAATCTGATCTAACCTCTTGGCTTATGCGAAAGCATTGTAAAAACAGGGAATGCTACATTCAAGGGGACAACTACTTCTCATGCTGGATGCTGATGGAGCAACCAAAGTTGATGACTTAGAAAAGCTTGAAACACAGGTTGGTGTCATTCTTTCTGTATTAAGTAAAAAAGAAACAACCATAAACATAAAAAAACAACAACACATTAAAGATTTTCCATTTAGATTCTTGCAGTTGCAAAAATGAAAGGTGTGGAAGCTAATGGTTTAAGTGAAGGAATTGGAGATATCCCAATTGTGGCATTTGGTTCCCGTGCTCATCTAGAGAAAAAAGCTTTAGCCACAGTTACTACTTCTTCATTATTCTTTTAATTTGATTATTTATCTTTCTTTTTCACTAATTAAATCACTTTATGTTATAGAGGAAGTGGTATCGTAACTTTTTGATGAAAGGTTTTCATCTTGTGGTCCTCTTAGCTGCGGGTCCCGGAGTTCGTGACACACAGGTGATTTTTCATATTCATATGTTCCAATTAATATGTTAACTAAGGGTCTGTTTGATATGCCTCTTACTGGGTCAGTCAAAAATGTGGTCCAACTCTGACTGTGATTCAGACAGTTTGATACCACAACCAGAAGCCTCTGATTCGGTCCTAGACATAACCCATGCTGACTCAGTCAAATCTGACTCTGTCAGACCTCTACTCAGTTAGACCTTGACTCAGTCAGATCTGACTCAATCAACAACTATTTATGATATGAACTTTTCAATATATGTCAGTGTGGCTTTAAGATGTTCACTAGAGCCGCCGCAAGGAAGCTTTTCACCAATATCCGTTTAAAAAGGTAACAAAAAAGGCAATTACTATTTGTGATATTTTTAATCCAATATTTTTCCATTTTGTAACATGGTTTTATAAATTAACAATTGTTTATAATTTTTATATAGATGGTGCTTCGATGTGGAATTGGTGTACTTATGTAAATCTTTCAAAATCCCCATAAGTGAAATATCAGTAAATTGGTCTGAAATCCCGGGGTCAAAGATCACTCCATTGAGCATTCTTAACATGTTGTGGGAGCTTACTCTCATGTCTTTGGGGTATAGAATTGGTATATGGAAAATATAAGCACCCGAACATCTTGATCCGAAAAAGAAAAAAGATAATTTGTTTTGTCCCCACATGCTTATCTTAACAGTAAGGATGTCAGAATTCACCTGTCTCCACATTTTGGGGATACTGTAATTTACCTTTCTCATGTTGGTTGTGGGACCCGTATGACTGTATGGAAGTTGTTGTGGGAGAGTTTTGAAAATGATGTGGAAGAGTTATATCATATATGCATGACTTGGGCACAAAGTAGGCATTTTTTTACTAGATAATGAATTTTCTTTTTTGTAATTGTTTATTAACAAACCCATAAATGTCCTGGTGTCTATATGAAAATATTATAGTTGTAAAAAGGTTATTTTAGGAAGCATAAAAATTGACCAAAAATATACACTTGTGGTAATGACAAGTACAAATAGCCAAAAATCTAACATCATCATGTATGCTTTTTGAATGTTGAATCCCTCAAAACCTAACATTAATTCATAGTTTCTTTGGTTCAAACTCAATATTTGTCGTTCTCATTAGATGACCCAAATCCACTTTGGGTTTGTGATAATGGAGTGGTTACAAGTTCTTGTTAATTTAGTCATATTCAACTCAAGTAATTGTTTATTAACTAAATAATTCGTTATAATCCATATAGAAAATGGTATTTATGCAAACAATACGAGGCTAACAAGCATGAAAAAGAAATCGGAAAAATCGAATATGGCTTCTTCTTCTTCTTCTTCTTTCCATGAACTCAAAAAACAAGCTTCTGTTTTCTTGAAAGAGAAGATCAAAACTGCAAGATTGGTGTTAACAGATGTTACACCTGCACAACTGTAAGCTTGTTTTGTTTATCTGATAAAACCAAACTTTTTTTTTTTTTTTGGTTTTCATTTTGAATGCAAAGTTTTTATGTTTGAACATGAAGATTGACCGAAGAAGCAACAGATGAAGATTCATGGCCATCAGACACGCGCACCATGGGATTGATATCGCGTGCGGCTTTTGAAGTCGATGAATATTGGAGAATTGTTGATGTTCTTCACAAAAGGTGTTAAATTTATAGGTTTTCTTGAGTTAAAACGATTGATTTTTTTCTTTAAAATTTGGAAATATTGATGCGTGTTTTAGGTTGTGGAAGTTTGATAAAGAGAATTGGAGAGGGTCTTATAAGGCTCTTGTTTTATTGGAACACTTGCTAACTCATGGTCCAGAGAGAGTTTCAGAAGAATTTCAATGTGATAAAGAGGTTATTAAGGAGATGAGTATTTTTCAACATGTTGATGAAAAAAGGTATGCAAATTAATTAGTTTTCAACCATTGGATTTGCGTTTTTGTTGGAAACATATTAAAGACGTCTAGTCTATTAAGTTCATAGAGCTTGATCTAATACATTATCATGGGACAAAATTATAGATTCAATTGGGGATTAAGGGTAAGAGAGAAATCAGAAAGGATTTTGAAACTACTTGAAGAAGATCGGTCTTTTTTGAAACAAGAGAGGAGTAAAGCCCGTGAGCTTACAAGTGGGATCAAAGGTTTTGGTAGTTTTACTCAAAGAAGTATCGAGAAAAGATTGGGAGAATCAAGATCACAAATATATTTTAGATGTAATTACAACAATGATGGAGATGAAGGAAACAAGGATTTAAACTATCGAAATCGTGATGTGGGTGATGATGAACATCAAGATAGAGCCTCTCTACCTTCTACTTATGTATAAAAATAAAAAAGGATTAAGGATCGACGAGAGGATAAAAAATAGTTTAATAGATAGAAAAAAATTGCATATTTAGCTTACTTTTTGTAAATATACCAATAGAATAGTAAATAATAAACAAACATCTTTGTTTTTTGAATATTTATACGATTACTTAACTCGAAAAACTAAAATACATGTTTTAAAGTCATCACCATTTTCCTTGTGTTTCTAATGTTTGTATGAAGGTTTAAGAAGTGAAGAAACAATATAAGGGAAATTTCAAGATTCACATAAATGTTGATGTTAAGAGTTTAAGATGTTTGATTTTAGAATGTCAAAGAAGCATGATAAAGGCATCCACCATCTCCCTTCAAATTCCAACATATAGGATTGGATCTGTTGAGAGCAGTTGTAAAGATTAAATAATAAATAATTAAGCAAACCACATGTTGACATATCTTCTAAGTTACAAGGCTACACAACAATGTAAAAAAAAAATGCCATCATCTCGTTAAATCTTAAAGCAAAATCGAACACTTAATTCATTAAATCATGCAGAACACTACCATTTCATCATCGAATCCTATATCCATGTCACAATCATGGTATCTTAGTGATGTGGATAATATTCAAGATCTTTTAGAAGGATTCATGGAGAAATGGGAGCATGACAAACGAGGCGGAATGAAGCGCAACTTAAAAGGTGCATAACTTTTAATCGGTCAAAAGTTTAGTGACCCACAAGGGCTCTGAATAAACGAATGTAGTTTGCCCACGGTCTTCGGCAAAAACAGATGTTTCGTCAATATTAATTTTTCAATTTCCTATTTTGTTTTATTCATTTTTATGACAATATATATATTTTTTTTCCGTAATTTCAGGTTTTTCCATGCTTATTTAGGAAGTTAAATAGCAGAAATTGATGTCAAATTTAATTTTTAGAACTTTGACAAACCTGCAAAATTTAGCTCCCCAATATATTGGAAGTGATCCATACATAACAATTTTTCTCTGTACACAATAATTTCTTTTGTATAGTTGTACAATACAACATTTTAAAACACACATTATATGGTTCTTGTAAACTTTTATAAGTATCGTGGACATTAATAAACTATTTTCCTTTTGAGATTTTCTTGTTCTTGCTTTCATTGCAGTCACTTATTGTCATTTTGCAAAATAGCCTTGAACTATATAAGTTATTTTTAGATTTTCAAATCCTTGGCTCCTTGCTCTTAGGAAGAACATCCCATATTAACAATATGTTAGATATAAGGATTTCGGAATAACAATCATACTTGGATATTTCTTGCATCGTGACTATTACCATTTCGAAATCTATAATTCTCCCTTTTATAGCCTAGTGTACACAAATTCAAAAGTGGGATAATCCAAAAAAAATCTTATTTGGATTGCAGGCCTAATAAAAAATCATAAACACAAAATACCTTGTGATGTTATGTGTTCTTGAGAGACAAAAAGATTGTTAATGATCAATTTCGTATATGTGAATGATCAACCCTTTTTGAGAACATTTACATTCCATTTATATAAAGTGGTTAAAGTCGGTTGCACCCAAAATTGGCGCCAAAAAAGATAGTATATATAATCGATGCCTACATCACCATGATGTCATCAATAGGTTTTTGCAGGGAAAATACATGTCCGAAGTCATTCCTGGTATATAAATTTGTTTAGGTTTGGGGGCGCTTCATGTCACACCCCCAAACCAGACGGCGGAAACGTCCGAGGGCTCGCATGACTTAAATTGAAATATCATCACAATGAATATACATGAAACATAACATAAACATCACCATTACAACCGACCTTGTTCACATCAAGTATATTGTTTAAATATTACATTTCCATAGCATAAATTGTTTGAGAGTTTTCAAAACATAACATTCTAACACACTTGGTATTGTTCTTCAGCTTATCTGTTACCTGAGAATACAAGTTATTTTGAAAACATCAACATATAGAATGTTGGTGAGTTGATAAGCAGGTTTGATATGAAAATGTTTTGTGTAGTTTATAAAACCCAGAAAATCCGATATTTTCTGAAACGACAATTGTTTATACAAAAAGTGTGAAGATCCATAGGTATATGCATGAATGATTTCAAAACGTGTATAAATGAGAAGTTTTGCATTATAGTTATTGAAAGTACAAGTGAATAATGTTGATTTCCCCGGAAAACCCGATGTTTTCCGATAAAACAGTATGATTGTTTTGTATTATTGTATCGTCGCATCAAATGAATAGGATTTCCCCTGATTACTTAGATGGTATTGGATTTTTATGTGAGTTGTTATAACCATGCATGATAATGATTAGTTCGTCTGTCTTGGCATTCTAGTGAACACCGGAATTGATATTAAGATTTTGTCACCCTAGATTGGTCGAGTCTAACTGTAGCGAACAACTTAGGTGTGGGGGAGTCACCCCCGTATAGATCTATACACAAACTCTCGCTCTCCCTCCAGGAGACTTTGATTATAACTACAGACTACGACCGACACTTATTGGTGTCTCCCATTATTACTCACTTAATCTAAATGAATTTGATTAACCTTGATTAACGATTGGATTTTTTTTTACTTAAATTGAAGGTAAGCCTAACGATGAGGAGAAGAGGACCACGAGGTCCTACTAATCACGTTTGTTATTTAAGGCTATCGAGTATACGAATGACGCGTTGGCCTATTTCGCATATGATTTATTTGGACCTTACTAGCAATGTTAATGGGCCACTAAGGCCCAATAGCATATAAAAGTCATTGAGGGTCCCTTAAGCATGTAATTAGGCGACAGGGGGGCCCAATAAGCATGTATTATTTATGTTAGGACCAAAAGTCATGTTAATGGGTCACGAAGGCCCAATAAGCATGATTAAAATCTTTCAAGCCCAACAATTTGAATGTTTACTTGTTTTGCATAGTATAATTGTCGGGAATTTTGTTTGAACAATTGTTGAATCACAAAGTCGCAAAGTGTGTCGATTGTTTTATAACGATATTTAGATTTATGAAAATATATGTATATTTTTCATTCTAAATTCATAAGTTATAATGTGGTATTTTTGACCCAAATATCTTAATAATAAAATAACTTACTCAAAAATATTGGTTTGACTTATTCAGCCATTCTTTAATAAAAATAACAATTTAGGTTCCTAAACTATTTTTCTTGACATTTTGGCCCAAAGACTTATTTAAATAATGTTTTCAGCCTAATGTTTACTTTTTCGCAGTTTCAGCCCCTTTAGTGAAAAAAATTTCATTTATAATCCAAACTTTTCACAACTTTTATAAATTTGACCCAAAATCCAAAAACTTTACATTTTTAATCCTTTTTGGAAAAAAGGGTCATTTTAACCCCTAAAATAGATTTATTTACTTTTCTACCCATTGTTTTGAGAAAATTACCATTTCAACCCCTTAAAAACCCATACTTTTCGCAAGTTTGGGCCTATGGGCCAAAAAGCCCAAAAGGCTATAATTTACATTTTTAGTCCTTTGGAAAGCATAATTTTGATAAAAACTTCTATTTTAACTGTTTTGACCTTTTGATCCTTGTTGAAACCGTGAATGACATCTTTTTCCACAACTTTTGTTTATTTTTTAAAAATGGTCCAATACCAAATTCTAGATTGTTGTGTTATTATAAAGCTTCTATGGTACTTTATCTTGACGTGTTAAGTGAAATATAACCTAGATCCCATATTTTTCCTTCTTGAACTATAGATCTCGAATATATTACATTTTTGGCACATATTTACCACATAAACACGAGAAATCACACATAACATACAAATACACATAGATCTACACATTTTACTTGTATTGTTCCCCATAAAACATGTAAAAACCAAAAATAGAGGGGTATGAACTCACATTTGCTTGTTGTTTTGGTTTGAAGAAAGAAATGGAAGAGTTTGATGCTATTTTCGGCCCTAACAAGCTTCCTTGGGTTGATTTCGAACTTAAGAAGCTTTTGTCACACCCCCAAACCAAGGATGGCGGAAACATCTGGGGGTGGAGGACTTTATGTATAGTATCATAACAACAATTACAATAATGATCAAAGTAAACACAACCAACATAAATATAATTGAAAACGTTACACCATAGTATGAGTTTACATGTTTCCAAATCAATTACATTATGTTGACAAAAATGAAATGTTTGACGCCTTACATCCCATATTCAAAAGCACTTAGTTACCTATTTATGGATTTCCTGAGAATACAAGTAGTTTTGAAAGAGTGTCAACAATTAAGTTGGTGAGTTCACAATTTTTCGAAGGTGATGCTAAAATAATTTTCTTGTAAAAGTGATGTTTGTCAAGAAAGATCCCATATTTTCTTACGTAATGCATTGTAGTCTTAAAAGTCAAGAGCAAGGTATACAAGTATTTTACCATACTTAAAGAAATTTATGCAAGTTTAAATCGACATAAACTCGTTAAGCTTAGAAGTAAAACCTGTAAATCTTATGTTTTGTTAATACCACATGTGAGTTATTATAACCATACCATGACTCAGACGGCCTCGTAATACGACGTTCTTCAGGCGTCGCAAGTTAAATGATACTTGTCACCTCAGACCTGCCGGTCTAGCTGTTGCATGCAGCTCAGGTGTGGGTTTGTCAGACCCAATATAGATCTATACACAACTATCACATTCTCCCTACAAGAGACTCTGGTTACAATTTACAGGACTTTTGATTCGTTACTTGGATGTAATACGAAGCGAATGTCTCACAAATTTATTCATTAACAGATTTACGTGAACTGAGAACCTTAGGTAAAGAGTTTGAAATGTAATGAAACATAGACTATACCTATTATAGTTTATTATAATCGTTTATAATGTAAAAGCGACATAAACTATACTTCCATAGTTTATCAAATGTTTGTATACAATGGATGTAAACTTTGTTTATAAGAACTAATTAATTACCATACTTATGAAGGTAAAAATCCATTTGTTTTTTTTATGTATGTCAATACACCAAGACAAAATGACATGTAATGTAAGAACATATATTCAAATAATGATACACACCTTGCTCAACAAGTTACAAGGTGCAATGAAATTGATAGCATTTTTCTAGTGTTAACATTTCTATTACTGTTCTTAGAAAATTTATAGAAAAATCATCAAATATCCA